CCTTGCTCGGCGGGGCCACCTGGGCGACCAAGGTGACCCTGGGCACTGGGCGCGGAAATTTCAAAATTAAAGCACCAGTGCTTCCTAAAGATGTGTTTTAAAACGCACACACACACACACACTTAAAAAAAAAAAAAAAAAAAAAAAAAGTGCCCGAATTCATCCGACTAGAAACTCTTCTACTCTATTTTTTTTCCCCTTCTACTCTTTTTTTTTGTTTTGTTTTTTTTCTGCCGTGGATGTATGGGAAAGGTATTGGTGGCTTACCTTTTCCTGTCTATGAACAGACCAGCCAGTGGAGCTGGTGGGGGCATAGACTGCCAGTGGAGCAACTTGAAGGCGCAATTGACCTCGCTCCACCACAGAACATTTGAGATGTATCTTGAGCAGCTGGTTGTGGTAGCCCTATATTCAAAATGTTGGGCCAATCTGAATGTATCTGATCTAGAATCCACTTCATATGCATGCCCAATGTTGAGATAGTGGAGCAACTTGAAGGCGCAATTGCTCCAAACTTCACAGTTCGCTATAATTTATGTTCATGCTAGGAAAGCATGAATCGGGCCAATTCCTACCGCCAGGTTCGTGCTCTGCAAGCACGAACCTAGCACAGAATCATGGGATCTGGTCCTAAATTGTGCAGTCCCTGTGGTAAGGAAATCAGGTCCCCAATGGCTAAACACATCAGGGTGCCAAGTCCCACTGCTAGCAGCGTTGAGTTTCCTCAACGCCCGAATGTGGACGTGTTTGTGGAAATGTGCAGTTGAGGAAACTCCCATGCCATTTTCTGCACATCTCCGCAAACATGTCAAGATTTGGGCATTGAGGAACTAGTGGGACTTAACCCCAGGTCTGCAATGGCCAAAACATCACAGCCTGCAATGGCCAGAAGATCAGGTCTGGAATGGCTAAAAATTCTGCTCTGCAATAATGGTGAATGTGGACCTGCTTGTGGAGATGTGGGGTTGAGGAAACTCAGGGGCTCGCTCTACACTCCTCCGGCCGTCCTCGGGGCCCGAGGAGATTTTCCCATTGTCGCCCGAGGAAAATCGCCTCCGTTCCACTCATCCTCGGAAAAGTTCCCCGAGGACGATTCCTCGGGTGCTCCCGCGGCCAGTTTCATATTTCGATACGSGGRGGGRGGGGGGGGGGGGCTGGTCCAGCAAGTTGTGTCCGTGCCGTCGTCCTTGGTCCAGCGCGGGTGGGCGTAGAAAATTCGAAAGTCGGCGGCGGAAAAAAAAAACTGGCGACGAAAAAAAGGCACTCAGTCCCGGATTCGAATTTTGAAATTCGAATTCCCGCAATAGCCGTCACCTGACTGCTGTCTTCGTCCGGATGGGGGTTAACGATGACCGTTCGAGAGGCGGCCAACGACCTCCCGCTACACAGGTAGAACGACAGATTCACGCTGCCATCGCCTTCGTCGCCGCTGAGCCCCTGCTGGAGGAGCTCGGTGTAGGACTGCCCATAGCCGCCGTCGCGGCTCCCACAGAGCTGCATGGCCGACAACTCCTGGGTGGATCCACTCCCCAGCGGCACGGTTCGTGGCTGTCTCTCATCCGCCTCCTCATTGGACGTGTCCGGCAGCGGTTGCAAGCGCGGTGGTAGGTGCGCGTGCGCAGACCGCCCCGAAGACGGCCGTGTAATCTGAGACGGGCTGGGCCACCCCGCTGCCCACCAACCTGCTCGCCTGCAGACATGCTGATCGCCTGCCGCCCCTCCATCCTGACGTCCTTCTTCAAAGAGCGTCTTCTGCGACCACGTCGATGAACGCTGCCAAGCATGCACACGTGGAAGACAACTAAGAGGAGGAGCAACAGGATGACCAGCACCAGCAGCGGCAGCCTCCGAAAGACGTCGGCCATGAAACGCACGTGGACGACGGCAGCAGCTAGAAGACAACGGTGGATCTTTGTGGTAACGGCGAGGGACAGTGCTGCAAACGCCCGATCGCAGATATCGACAAAATCACCGTAACGTATTCCGTCGTGGAAGACACTGCGCAATCGGGACGGCGGGGGCCGGCTGAAGTATTCGAATCTGCCGACCATTGGGCGCCTTCCCGCTCGGGGCCACGGGCAGCGACAGCCCTTTTTCGACGTCGCGGAGGCCGGCAGACCGCCAACGACGACCGTTGGTGGGCAGTTCCATGACGCCGACCGTTGCCGACTGAAGATGTCCGTCCAAGGCCGCAAGGAATAGCGTCGGAAAATGTCGTCGAGAGAGCTGCCGTCGACGCCCCGATTCTTCCGGATGCTCGACCTCTGAGGGACCTCGGGAGGTCCCTTGGGGAACGCGTTGGAATGGCTGTAGCCCGAGGAATCCCCGAGGAATCCCCGAGGAATCCCCGAGGAATCCCCAAAGGAATTGTTTTCGCAATTTTTTTTCAATTTGTTCCCCGAGGATAAGTGGAACGATCATTTCCTTGGGGTATTTACGCGCCCAAGGAGTATGATTTTCTGCACATCTCCACAAACATGTCCAGATTCAGGCATTGACGGAAATCAATGCTGCTAATGGGACTTCACCCCAGGTCTGAAATGGCCCAAAAATCAATGTCTGCGATGGCCAATAAAGGGAGTGTGGCGGAATTGAGAGTAGGGGCCTCCGCTTTTAGGGTCCGCCCCTAAAAAATGAGGGCGCCCCAGGACGGAAATCTTTAGGGAGCCCCCGGAGGTGACTTGAAATGTGAGAAATGTGAGGGTGGGACCCTACGAATTGCCCGACAGGCCTAGGTCCTGACACCCGGCCCTCCTCACCTGAGATGTCAAGGAGGGTAAGGTGTAGGGTCTTCCTTACGGGCTGTGGAATGAAAAAAAAAGTTTAACCACCAGTACTTCTCAAAGTAGTGCCCGTTAACATGCCACGATTTTAGGAAATGTAAGGGCCACTACAGAAGCGCCCAAATTCATCCAACAAGAAACGTTTCTACTCTATTTTTTTCAGCCGCCCATAGCTGGGCCAAGTACTGGTGCTGTGGAACAAAAAGAAAGTTAGGGTAAATTAATCACCCTCGCCCAGTTAGGGCGCCCTTACAATGTAAAAATTCATAAGTGGAGTGGAAAGAGGCCCCTACTAGGTGGAGGGAGGCCTTGGAAACGACCGTTTTCGAGAGAGTCTGAGTCTCACTCCATTACTCTCCACATTCACACAAAAGACAATAATCAAAAGACAATAATAGTGGCGGTGTATCTTAAAGTTTCCATGTTCTAGCGGGAAAAAAAAAAAAAAAAAAAAGTTTCCATGTTCTAGCGGAGTATTCACTCTCCCTCTGCACATTTCTAGAGTAGTGGAGGGAGGGGCTGTTACAACTCTGGATCTGCTCTCGATTCTAGTTTATTTTTCTTCTGGTTGTTCGTGTCTTGATTCTGGGCTGGAATGCAGAGTGTGGGAGTGGCAACCATAATTGGAAAAGCTACTGAGGGAAAAACAAAGAAGAGAAAACTAGGGCGGAGTCAGGGTTAGAGTTTGAAAATGCATTTCAAACTTGGTTTCTGCAGTCCAGTCAGGGCCCGAGTTTCAAATTTCAAATGCAGTTGAAACTCGGGTGAGCAGAAACGCCGCACGGGGGAGTTCAAAACAGCACTCTAGTCAGCCACGTTGGACGGCCCAGCAGAGGCCCTGGCAGGCTGACTGAGACATAGTCCATCGTCCAGGGTCTCTGCCTCCAGGTTCTCTGCCTCAGGGGAGCCCCTACAGTGAGTGCCGCCGCGCCAGAGCATGGGCGCAGTTAACTGTGAAGGCATGTTGCCAACATCGAAATTCACAGACTGTGAATTTTGATTGTATGGGGACTGTTACCTGTGCCACACACATTCCAGAGAGTACTGTAAAAAGAAGCACACACACA